TATAGAGCCAGGCCGCCTGCCTGCCGCAAGACCAGCCCACCTGGTAGGTGCTCTTCCACACAGCGTCCAGCGCCAGCAGGAACCGCTCCAGCTCTGCAGGGCAGCTGAGATAGAGGACCCATGGCGGCACGTACTGCTTTTGTTCCTGGGCAAACTCCTAAGGGGGTGGGAGAGGAACGCCACCTGAGACCCTGGTCCTCTTGACGCAGGACGGCCAAGGGCCCAGGTGGTTTTCAGCAGGTTCTGACCAGTTCTGGAGAACCGGTAAAGTGGAGATTTTGAGTCGTTCGGCTGAACTGGCAAATCCCACCCCTGTCTGGCCCACCCGCCCCATCTCTCCTCTGCCTCCCATTGAATCCCGGCTGATCGGCTGGGTCTCCTTTGGTTGCCCCGCCCAGGAGAATGGAGCTGGAGAGCAGGTTAGCGGGGTGGGGAGGGAATGGGGATTGTGCAGCAACCTTCCCCTGCCACGCCCACCAAGCCGCGCCCACTGAACCGGAAGGAAAACGCTCTGAATCCCACCGTTGGCCAAGAGCCTCATTTAACGAGCTGCACCAGACGAGCCCCAGGGCTGGCAAACTCCCAGGGGAGCCCTGAGAGACCCCAAGGCAAACGCTTCCCCCTCCTCTTCGTGAAGACCCACCAGGAGACAATATTCCCAGCCGGGCTCCGTGGAGACGGAAGCCACCTCCGCCAGCTCAGCAGTGGCCAGGGAGCGGAAGAAGCCGGTCTGGCAGTCCTCGTGGCAGGTGAAGAGTTTCTGCTCCGTCAGCACCAGGCAGCAGGGGACGCAGGGTGCAGGGGCCACACCCTGGGGGATGACCTGGGTGAGAAGGAGGGCTAGACAACCTTTGGAGCTCCCTGAGGGCGAGAGGGGCCCCTGCTCCTGTCTTCCCTTCCGGTCACCAGGCAGCACAGGAGCCGCGGGGACCGTTCCCCACCCGTCCCCTCCGACCCTGCTGGCCCCAATCCCAAGGATGACCTTACCCCCTGGGAGACCGCCTGGCATAAGTACAGCATCCAATCGGCCATCTCCTCTTCGTTTTCTGCGCTTAGCTCCAGGGAAGGGCGCTCAGTCAAAATGACCTGGAAGGAGTGGGGCCGGTCCGTGGCGCTCGACCTTCGGCACCCGCCACACTGCTCTCCGCTGCAAGGGACAGAGTTTGCGGCAAATGAGACAGAGGGGGGGCAGAGTCAAGGGGGGGGAGCCTGCCTCATCTGGGACTCACCCCATATTGACAGACAGCAGCGGAGTGACGTCCGTCCGGTCTGGGAACTGGTACAAGATGCCGTTGCTGCAGAGGGAAGACGGAAACAGCTGCTGGGAAAGGGCCCCCCTCCCAGTCCAAAACGGGAGAGCTTCGAATGAGCACAGGTGAATATTGCCAATGAAATGCTCTCTGCCCTCGGGAGGGTAGGACAGGCCCTCTTGTGCTGTCACCAAGAACCACCAGAGTCCAGACCAAAGTAGCTCTGGGGGTTATACAGTTAAAAAGATGGCTATACACCAGAAAAGCTGCAACCAAGGCAAAGGGACGTTAGAGCAACGCACAGAAAAGGGCATCACTCCAGAAATATCACACAACAAAGACACAGGTATCAGGGTGGTTTGGAATGCAACTATAACTTTTACAAGGAGACCTTTCGTATAGCATAACAGCGAACTCAAAAAAAATAATAAGCCACAATAGGTGATTAAAGATCAGAATAGAATAGAATAGAATAGAATAGAATAGAATAGAATAGAATAG